TCGGAAATTGTAGCCCTGTTTTAACCGACATAAGAACCGTTCCAGAACCAGTAATTTCCAGTTGCTCACCTATTTTTCAATGAGTTCATCCTACTTGACAAATGAATTGATCAACTGGAAATTAGCGTTCTAGAATGGTTCTCATGTCGGCTGGAACAGAGCTACAGTTTCTAACATAATGATAATTATTTAAAATTGAATACCTACTTAAAAGTGTAAATTTTGTTTACTTAACCACAATTAAGAATTTGTTGCACTGGACCCCTACACGTCCTTATTAAAAGTTGGAACAAAACTGTCGAAATTAAAAAATAGTAAACAACTTCGAATTAGGTCGAGAAAGTTTCTCTCAGTCTCCACACCACGATCCGTCGTCCAGTTCGCGCGTACCAAGCCCGAGTGACACCATAAGTACATTTCTTTTCAATCCCGCAAATCCCGGCGGGATCCCGCTCAGTTTATGAGCGAGATCAGTCCCGCATATGGCGTGCGGGATCCCGGTATTTCGGGATCCCGGTATCCCGGTATTGCATTCACTAGTCATGCCAATAGCCAAAAAAAAAAAAAACCTTCGGAACTAAAAGACTTTAGGCCTATAAGTGTCCTACCCACCTTATCTAAGATTCTAGAAAAAATTCGTTACGAACAATTAGTTAATCATTTGGAACAAAACAATATTTTGCCACCTACCTAGTCTGGATTTAGGGCCAACTATAGTACAACCACTGCTTTACTCCAGGTAACTGATGACGTAATCCAAGCATCGGATCGGGGTCAATGCACTTGTGTAGTTCTATTAGATTACAGCAAGGCATTTGACACGCTGATCCATAAAATATTATTCGCAAAACTTGGTTATTTTGGATTAGGTCCTGATGCAATTGCCATGTTGGCAGATTACTTTGACGGGAGACTTTAGGGTCCTTATTCTTGATTTGAGAGAAAATTGTACTCCCCGGGGAGCTCCCTGATTTTTCTACTCCTTCATCATTTTTCTCGATTTTAAAAAGCTGTATTCTTGAAAATAGGGAGTAGGAAGTAGTAAGAGAAATAGCGAACACTGCTGCCAGATTTTAGTACAAAATTCTGACCAATAACAAATGATGAAAATTGTCCACTAACAGTTTTTTGACAAATGCACTTTTTGTTGTGAATTATTGAGCTATTCAAATTTATCTGTGACTTATCTGACAATTCTTAGGCAGGCCAGATACGCGAATATGTCACAAGTGTGCAGTGGGTATAGTGGGTAAGGAAACCCTCCCTTTATTTAGATTAAGGTGAGCTTATAGTGTTTATGCATTTATACTATAGGTACTAATAAATACCAACATTCGGAAAGTAGAAGTTTAGAACAAGAATGGCAAACACACATATGAAACAAGAACAAAAGGAAATCATGTTGAATTTCATCAAAGCCAGACCAAAATCATTTGCTGCAAACTTTTCACCTGATTTTACAATCGCACACTCAAGAGCTTTATGGCAAGAGCTTGCGACCATTCTAAATGAGCAATGGAGCCCTAAAAAGTGGAATGCTTGGCGCAAGGGTTCTTTTCATAAAATTTGGTTAAAATATGCTTTGGAACCTTTTCCTCATTTTTTTTGGGTTAGACCTAGATCGACATAAAAAAAATAGCAAATCAAAATTGGCTATAGAAAAAAAATACCAAAAAGGTACAGGAGGGGGCCTCCTGAATCAGTTACTACAGATAATGTTGACACTAAAGTTATGGAGCTTACAAGTCCAGTGTGTATTACAGGCAATATGAAGGTGCCTGAGCCAGGCATCATCCTTGATAAAGAGGTAATATTTGATGAGATGTTCCCTGCCATGAGAGCAGCCTTCTATATAGAGCCGAGACTTGGAAAATTACAGACAGACAAAAGAAAAAAGTTGAAGCAGTTGAAATGGATGCTATTAGAAGATCCATGCGAATCTCACGAAAAAACAGAATAAGGAACGACAATATAAAACAACAAATGGGTATAGAAGGTACGATAGTCCAGGACATTGAAAAGAAACAACTTACCTGGTACGGACACGTAGAACGAATGCCAAATGACAGGTGGCCCAGAAAAATGCTGCATTGGCAACCAACAGGTAGAAGAAAACGAGGAAGACCAAAACTGGAATGGCAGAAGACCATACAAAAGTCCATGAGTGAAAGAAATCTCTCATCGGAGGATTGCGACGATAGAAGAGGATGGAAATTAGGTGTCGGACAACGAAGAAAGACGTTCTAAAACGACATGTATATATATGTTCCCTGCCAACAATCTACCAGCAATGGCAGGATCTGTACCGAATATAAAGGTGAACATTGTTTGAGGCAGGGTTATTAATACATTATTATTATTATTATTAGAAACATTTACAAGAACTTAAACCTTTTGCAACCTTGGTATCAACAGCTACGTAATAAACATCTTTGTCTTACAGCTTGACCATGTCTGCATCACACCTCCAGCAAAAGCAAATGAAAACTTATATTTTCCGACTGAGCTTGAGAAAAATTAAACTGAAAATACAACGAAGAATCTTGTTCCTGAAATAAAGAACCATGCTATACCCAGAGGCAAACCCAGAGTGACAAAAACCATGAGACTGAATGAATCTATCAAAAACCACAGTAAAATGGTGAACATTTTAGGACATGCTCAAAATGGAACAGATACACACCGTTCTGGAAAAAATCAAGTTTTGAAAGAGCAACGAGATGAACTAAGAAAACAAACCCATATAATGGAGAATAATATTTCTGTTTCTTTACTTAACATTGTAGATATCATGAGAATCAAGAAATTGTTGGATAAACACTTGTTGGATTAACAATGTGGGATAAAAACTTGTTGGATAAAACATTGTATGCCACTCGTGTGTTATGTTTCGTAAGTCACTTGAGAATTTTTACCACTCGGCCTGACGGCCTTGTGGTATAAATCTTTCTCGCGTGACTTATTTTCAACATAACACACTAGTACCAGAAATAGCTATGAATCCATTGTCCAAAAAAAAACACTCACTTTCACTTTTAAAAAAAAACTTCTCCGTCAATTTTTTAACGTTTTGTTGTTTATTTATCTTTATTCCCATTCCCATTTTCATTTTCTCTCACTTGGGACCAGTAGAAAATGAAATACCCTTAGGGAGAAATCTGTCTATCAATTCATGAGAGAAATTTTTCCAAGAATACAGTATTTTCAATTCTAGGAAGACACTCCCACTTTCTCTCACGTTTTCTACTCCCTAAGATTCAAGAATAAGGCGCCAGAGGGTTGTTTTTGATGGCAAGTTTTCCATGCCTTCTTTGCAGGATAGGGGAGTACCACAAGGAAGTGTTTTGGGCCCTTTAGTTTTTACTTTGTACACGGCTGACCTCCAGAATTTCTTAAACTATATGTCTGGCCACCAATTTGCCGATGATTACCAGCTCCGGCTCTCTTTTGACAAAACACAAATCACAGATGCAAATAAACAAATAAATAAAGACCTTGCCACAATCCAGAGGGTGTCGCAGCAACATGGACTCATCTTAAATGCAGCAAAAACTCAAGCAATTCTCTTTGGAAGCAACAGGAGGCAATGTTTCGAAGATGGGTTTAAAATTTCTATTGATCAAAATGAAATTGATTTCAGTGACTGCGTAAAAAACTTAGGCGTCATGATAGACTATAATTTGAGATATGAGTCACATGTTTCAAAGCTTTTACAGAAAAGTTATGGTAAACTTAAAATGCTATACTTGCATAAAAGCTACTTATCCACCAAAGTTAAACTTAGGTTATGTGACTCACTAATCCTCTCGTAAATATCATACTGCGACACTCTGTACTGGCCCGCACTTTTAAAGAAAGACCAAGAAAGTCTTCAAAAACTCCAAAACGCATGTTTAAGATTTTCATATGGTGTGCGCAAATTTGACCATATCTCGCCCTACTATGTAGAGTCTGGATGGCTCCGGCTTGATGAGCGATTCTTCTTGCACATGTGTGCAATAGTTCACAAAATTATCTAGACCCTCCAGCCTAAATACTTGGTTAAAAGACTCATCAGAGGGTCGGACATTCATAATCTACCAACCCGGTATAGAGGATTGTTTACAGTTCCCAGGCACAGGACGGCTCTCTTTCACAGGTGCTTCCGGTACGTTGCAACGAAATGTTACAACTCGATTACATTTGAAATGAAATGCTCTAAAACTGTACCTACGTTCAAGAAATCCCTTAAAAGCTTTCTTAATTAAAGCCAGGAATTTGAAATCCATTTACATAACACCATAGTTTGTCTCGCTTGGTCATTCTGGTGAGTCTGAATTGATAGAATTGTTAGAATAAGTAAATTCGCATATTTGTTATTTGGTTAAATATTTATGTAATGCCATTCTTTTTTCTAGATTAATTGTATTTATGCTTTTTTTTTATTGTTCTCTTTTTAATTATTTTTCCATATCATACATTTCATGGCGTTCACGAACTTGGCGTCCATGTTTTTCAAAGTGGTTAGATAGAATAGCTATGCTAGATCTCGCTACTTATTAAAACTAACCATATGAACAAATTGATGTAACATATATAAATAAAGGCTTTTTGATTTGATTTGATTTGATTTGATTAATGTTGAAATCTCCTACCACCATGTGCTGTTTGGGGTTGTTTGATATAAACGTTCTCTAAGGTATTAAGTTGCTGATCATTACTATAGGATGGTGGTTTGTAAAATAAGCTTAATTTAGTACCATGACCCCTATGCTTGCACCTACCCAGCTTAGATTATCATCTGGTGGGAATTTGCCTAGTTCTTTTAAGTTGATTCTATATTTTTAACATAAATTGCGACACCACCCCCTGTTTTATCCCTACATGAGTATATAGACTTATAGCCACAAAATTCGTACAGCCATTTGTCTTCTTCAGAAAGTCATATCTCAATATTTATACTAACGATAGTTTGAATATACATACCTACTCCTTTACCGGGTGTCCGATGATTATTTTGTGTCCGCTATGGCCTGATAGGATAAAAAATATCCGCTTTTGATTGATCAAAATTTAAAAATTACCTGTGTGTATGTGTGATGCAATAATCTAGATGCAAATCTGTGTAACAATTAAATCCGTTGACCGTGCTAAAACGGTCTTGTTGTTTTCACGCATGAAGACTTCTAAAAACGTGTGACATTGAAAATTATACAGTACCATTATTGCTCTTCCTAAATGCGGACAATTTTTCCTAAAATTATTATATAGTTATTACCGGTACAATAAAATGCAGTCGGTGGTGTTTTGTTGTGCGTTGCACGTTGGGATGTTTATATTTTACGTAAGTTTCACACAATAATCTGATTAAAGTCTGCGACTAAATTCACTCTAGGACTGGCACTAATTCTGCCCTGTCCCTAGTTAGATTAAAAGCAAACTTTATTTCAAACAATAGAAGGCGATTTAGCTTAGAGTCCAATCTGTTTGCGTATACTTTCCAGAGTCCTGGCATGGAGGATTTGTACCGAGTTTGGATGCTGTTTTGATTGTGACATGCCGGATTTCAAGTCCAATATAAATCAAGTTTGAATTTAATTCGTTGAGTTTGTCCTGTCGATAGTGTTGTTTGGAGATCTTCAAAAACATTTAAAACAAAAAAGAATGGACTTTTTGAGGCCAGGATTGCGTTTTAGTTAGAGTAGAATTAAAGAGCAAATATATAGTTTCTTGAAATTTCCAGAATTCATTAAAATCAAGCTGAAAATTGATAATATGATGTCTATCAGGAAGAGATTTACGATTTTCTTGTCAATTCAATCCTTGAAAACACACACAATTTATACATTTGAATTTTCCTTAAAAGTCTAGAAAATTGAGTTTTTTTCAACATCCTAAAACCCTAGAACTGTTTTGTTCTTGTTCAAATGCTATTTTCTATTGAACAAGAAAATGATTAATTGACTCCCGAATAATAGATACCAAAATCACCATTAAATAACAAAGACAAATGGAATAGACGTCGATAAAACCAAACAATATTAAATTAATTATAGAGTCCCCCAGTCAAACCATATCTCTAAACAATTAATGAACTGGTTTAAAGACCATAGAGCCCAATAATGGCTCTACATTTTGTGTCCATTGTATTATTTATTACCTATAGAATTCTAGTATCGTAGGTACTTTTGCAAATAAATATGTATTAAGGACATCCTTCCTGTTGTTTTAAATTATATAGATGTGATTTAGGCGCAAGGACATTTCAGTCTGGGGCAAATAAAACAATCCTTTATTTGATAGCAATTAAATTATACTCGTTAAACTAACTATTATTAAATGCCCCCTTTTTCCAGTTAACGATTATGGGGCTAAAGTGCCTCTAAATATATGACTTAGATTAAACTGTTATAAAAATTCAAGATTATTTCTTTTTCAGTTGCCATTTTTGCTCGTTTCTACCCAAAATATTCCAACCGAAGATGAACCTACTGGTACTTCTACACAACCTACTCCTGAAACCACTACACCCCTACCGATAGGGCCATTTAGTGTGGAAATTTTGGCGATTCATGTACCACCTGGTAATGGAAATTCTATAAAACTAGTGTGGGGCGGAGGCAGGGATCAGGACAAGGCGAATCTCACTTATGGGATTTACTATGGTTCAGAAGAGGGAGAACTTGAATGTGAGTTAATTGTGTACCAAAATTTTTGTTATGATAAATTGAGTTGAATTAGAAGTCGAAAAAGTGCAGGATTTTTTTCTTATTTTGTCTCATTGATGTCATTCAGGGTGAAGGATTGGTTATTCTTATCTTTTTGCAATTTAAATCACCCTGTAGTTTATGATGGCAATTTTTTCAATATTTTTAGTATCCCATCTAAAAGTCCTTGAAATTCTCTATAAATTTTGAAAATTTGAACATTGTACCATGTGTCTTAGAAAAGTTTCAAAATTGTACATAATAATCTTTAAGATTTTATTACTTTTTGAAAAATTATCGTAAATTGCTCAAACTTTTAGGGTTTGTGAAGAAATTTTAAGGCTTTCAGATGAACTATTCGGATTTTCTTCATATACAAACTGTTTTTTGAGAAACTTTCTTGTTTGTAGGTTCCTCAAAATCACCCTGTAGTTCATGATAGCAATTTTTCTTCAATTTTTTTAGTATCCCATCTAAAAGTCCTTGAAATTCTCTATAAATCCTGAAAATTTGAACAGTGTACCATGTGTCTTAGAAAAGTTCCAAGATTCTAAATTTGAAATCTTGAACAATTCAAGATTTTTCAAAATTGTACATGATAATCGTTAACAGCTTTATAACTTTTTGAAAAATTATCGTCAATTGCACAAACTTTTAGAGTTTGTAGAGAATTTCAAAGGCTTTCAGAAGATCTATTTGCATTTCCTCTGAAAAAATTACTCCTAGATATAAAAAGTGTTTTTTGAAAAAATTTCCTGTTTGTAGGTTCCTTAAAATCATCCTGTAGTTTTTGATGGTAATTTTTCTTCAATTTTTTTAGTATCCCATCTAAAAGTCCTTGAAATTCTCTATAAATCCTGAAAATTTGAACGTTGTACCACGTGCCTTAATAAAGTTTCAAAGATTCTAAATTTGAACTCCTGAACAATTCAAGATTTTTCAAAATTGTACGTAATAATCTTTAATACTTTTTATAACTTTCTGAAAAATTATCGTGAATTGCTCAAACTTTCAGGATTTGTAGAGAATTTCAAAGGCTTTCAGATAATCTTTTTAGATTTCCTCTGAACAAATTACCCTTTGATATACAAACTGTTTTTTGAAAAACTTATATGTTTGTAGATTCCTTAAAATCACCCTGTAGTTTATGATGGTAATTTTTCTTAAATTTTTTTAGTTTCTCATCTAAAAGTCCTTGAAATTCTCTATAAATCTTGAAAATTTGAATATTGTACCATGTGCCTTTGAAAAGTTTCAAGATTCTAAATTTGAACTCCTGAACAATTCAAGACTTTTCAAAATTGTACATAATAGGTAGCTATTTATGTACCAAGGGGATTATGTAGATTATAATACCCGAAGGCGAAACTAGCCCGAGGGCCTCTGGCTTGACGGATATATTTCGCCTGAAGGGCATTATAATCTAATAATCCCCGTGGTGCATACAATGCTTTATTTTCTACTCAACACAATGTTCTTTCATCAATTTAGTATCAAACAAAATCAGTTAAACTTAAACTTGTGTGACAGAATCGAGGAAAGAATATTGTTTTATATTTTGACATGTACCTGTAGCTGTGACCTGTACCTAGAAACGAAATAAATTAATATACGTATAAACATCTCATAAGGCAAGGCTGCGGTGCTCGTGTGGGTTAACGCACTTGACTACATGGGAAACGTTGATGGTAGACCGGGTTCGAATCCTGGCCAGACCGAAAATTATTTTCGGTCAGACATTTAATGGCTGCCTAAGTGCAAATTAATAAAACAACAACAACAAAAACACCTCAGGGTATTATAAGCGGGCGTTATAGATCATAATGCCCTCAGGTTGTTATAGGTATGTTAACGTATTTCGTTTCCTTAGGTATTATGGATCTATGATAGTTAAGTAGAAAATAATAATCTTTAATACTTTATATAACTTTCTGCAAGAAATTATCGTAAATTGCTAAAACTTTCAGGATTTGTAGAGAATTTTGATATTATAATGTGCCGTGTATCAGAGTAGACGTACACAAGTGAGCTCCGTAGTTTTTTACTTATAAGTGCTGCGTAAATCCGTTTTATACGTTTTTTTTTTTGTGCTTACCGCGACTTGTGATGCATGAAGATCGGGTCCATATAAAAACTAGTTGGTGTCGAGAACCCTATCGCGAGTTATTCGAGACTTTTCCAATAGTTATTATTCTACCAATTATCGTTGGCAATTTCTTGATCAGTATAATCGCTCCACTTCGATAAAGTCGTGGTCATCAAAACTGATAATGGTTGGAGGGACTAGAAGCACAAGCAGGTCAGATAGCAAATCTGATGAGGACCACATCGAGAAATTGATAAACAGGATCTGCAACAGTTTAAGGGAGAAGCTCGATGCCAAATTAGAAGCCAAACTCAGCAAACTCGAAAACCAAATTATACAAATCACAAATAACCTCAAAGCATTAAGTAGTATATTCACAGTGACTACGAAAAACATAAAGGATTTGCAAACTCGTGTGGAAAATTTAGAACAAAACTCCAATTTTTTTTTGGGTACAACGTCCAAATTTGCACCCGAAACACGCTACACGCTTCGGGCAAAAATGTATCCCGATGCCGTCAAAATAGTTATAGGGTGTCCACTTAGTGCAATATCGGACGATATCTCCTTACAAAGTTATGCAAGCAAAAATGCAATATACAGGGTGCTCCGTAAATGGGGTATAGGACAGAACTTTGTTATTTTTGAATGGAACACCCTATACTTTAGTACATCAACAGATCGTTCTAAAAGCCTACATACCTTTTGTTAGGAATCACCTATCCCAAAACTCAACCTTTTTCGAAATATTTGATATTTTTTTGAAAAATCGAAGTTTGCATGTGTCAACAAAAACCAACATATTTCATTCATTGGAGATTCTACAAGCTAAAGCTTTTGCAGGTTGTTAGTGCATACCCACATTTCGTTCGTGGTCCTATGAAAATCTGATAACATTCTACAGGGTGTTCGCGATACTGTACACAAAACCAGACATTTCAAACAATCATAGCTAATTTTTTTCAAATGGTATACCCTTTATTTCACTGTATAGTAGTAGGTACCTACGTCGGTACTGGTGAGCTTAAATATTTATACGATGCCTTTGATACTTTACTTTGTAGAACTTTTTCGAAATTTTGTTGTCATTTATGAATGTATAGAAAAAAATCTTTGTCGGGGGGGGAGGGGGGGGGGAATTACCCCCCTCTACCCCCCCCCCTTTAAACCGCCTGTGATGTCCCGTGCAGCCGCAGTGAAATCGACTTTGTGTATCAAATTAACGCGAATAATGAAAATGGGGCTAAACAGGGTCCACGTACTATTTTGCTAAATTTCATCACAAACATAATGAAGAACGAGGTTATGAGGGCTAAGAAAAGCTTTAAGAACACTCCATATTCCTTATATGAAAACCTTACTCGGTTCCGATATGAAATTTTGTCTGCAGCAAAAAAGAAGTATGGAAATAATATGGCTTGGTCATCAGGTGGGAAATTTTCTTATTGGGATCAGAGGAACAACCGAAAAGTCATGGCATCAGAACCAGCAAGTATTTGATATCCTTTCGAACTAATGGTTAATTAATTATCCAAACCTTTGTTAGCAGAATTTATTATATTTTATATTTATTAAAACGTCGCATCTTTATCAACATGTTAGGACTAGAATCTTCACTAGGGATTTCGAAATACCCATGCATACCCGGAATTTACCTCTATTGTTATTTTGGAATTCGCTCCTTTAAAGTAGATAAATTATTTAAATATTTACTTATATGAAATAACATGAATTATTGCTCATGATTGAATCTTTTACCAGATGCTACGTTGCCAGACCTAAAGACTTATTTGATTTTTTCCTTACTTTTCTCATTTTTATTTCTAGGATATTATTGTATAGATTAATGTTGGTATAATTTATGGATTTATGTCTAAATATTTTGGTTATATACGGGGGCTCTCTTTTATTTTTGTATCATGGCGGGTTGTATCGATCAGGGTGTAGGTTTTTCGCATTTCAATGTAAGATCATTGTGTTCCAAGTTTGACGTGTTTGCGGAGGAGCATGTCGACATTTTGGGACTTTCTGAGACATGACTGCATGAGGGCATTGCCGATGCTGCCTTGTTGATCAATGATTATAGTTTGATTAGGAAGGATCGGAATGGAAGAGGCGAGGGCGTTGGCTTTTACATCAAGAACCACTTCAAGTTTAAGGCTCTTGCCACTCCTCCTACATTAAGTCAGCTTGAACATCTGTGGGTGAATGTTAGGACTGGGGGCACAAATCTTTGTTTTGGGACACTTTATAGACCCTCTAATGCCAATTTATCCGGGTGTGATAGGGGAGATTTTAATGTTGGCCTTCTTAAGGAAAACCATACTGGTGCCCTATATGTGAATATTTTTTTAAATAAATATAGATTAAAACAGCTGGTTGCCCAGCCCACACGGGTCACGGATAATTCGTCCTCATTGCTGGATTTGCTCGTCTCTTCTCGAGATGGGAGGGCTGGTGAAGTAGCAGTAGCCCCAATGGATGATATTTCCGACCATTGCTGGGTGCAATGTAAATTAAAAATTTCAAAGAGCAAACCACCAATATCTTTCAAAACTCATAGAGATTATTCTCATTTTGATAATGACGCGTTGGTTGTGGACTTGCTGCAGCTAGATTGGAGCAATTTTTATACGAGTAATTCTATTGATGCAAAAATTGACTTATTTAACAAAATGGTAAGCGAGATGTTCGATTTGCATGCACCTATAAAATGAGCTAGAGTCACCAAATCACCTGCCCCATGGTTGACGGATAACCTGGACCTGGATTCCGAACCCACGATTCGATAGTATCGTCAATATAAAATAGATAGAGGATACTATCGAATCGTGCGTTCGGAATCCGGGCCCTGAAGCTTTTAATGATATTACGCAACAAAGCGCGTATAGTATTTCCAAACTCAATTGAAACAAGATAATAATAAATCGCAGTGCACTTCTTATGAAAATATTCAGTCACCAGTTGTGATTTACCTTGACCTTGTTTCAACTGACTCTGGAAAGACTATACCAAGTTTAACAAATATAAAACAGATTTACTGTGGGAAGAATACAAAAGCTTAAGGAACTGTGTCACTACAGCCTTAAGAACAGAAAAGCGCGCTTTCTTACAACATAAGTTTCAGACTGATCCTAAAGGATTCTGGTGCACCCTGAAGTATTTGAATATAAACTCTACTCCTAAAATGACAGCAAATCAAATGGGATCTGTTGATGAATTTATGAATCACTTTAATAATATTGTTCCTCCTAGTATCAATAATATGAACAACTTAACTCAATTTTCTCTATGAATAAAATAATTCCTACCATACAGTCAGGTTTTCGCTCCGAACACAGGACGGCCACTGCTTTATTAAAAGTAACCGATGTCTTATTCCACGCCTCGGATGAGGGTAACAATACTGCTCTCGTACTGCTGAACTATAGCAAAGCCTTTGACACCTTAGATCATAACACACTGTGTGTTAAACTGAAATATTTTTTATGGATGTGTCTTCACTTCTTTTTATGAAAAGCTATTTACATGATAGGAGGCAGAGAGTTGTGATAGGGGGAAACCAATCTGAATATGCAACAGTCACCAGAGGAGTTGCCCAGGGTAGCATACTCGGTCCCTTGCTGTTTTCCATATATACATCTCTGATTTTCCAGCGTTTTGCAATATTGTGCGCACTGTGCATCAATATGCCGATGACACGCAAATGTATTATTCCTTCTTAGCATCGGACATTAGGATAGCTGAAGAGCGTTTGAATAGTGATTTAAGCAAGGGCGTAGATATGGGGGGGGGTAGAGGGGGTAATTACCCCCCCCCCAGGATCTCTATTTTATTAGGTACCTATATTTAAAAAAAAAAAAAAATAATATTCTATTAGATGAAAAATATTGGGCTGCTAGAATGAGTATACATTATTTTTAGAAAACTGTATTATCTAGTACTGTATTCTGTTGGTAAAAACCGTGCTGCTCTAGTTTTACATACTAACACTGAATCAGTTTAAAAGTTTAGTACACTCGGTACATTCCCAGAAGAACATGAATTTGGCCATTTATACCCTGTTGTTTTTTTTTTTTCGATCCTCGTTCGGCTTCCTTGTTCAGAGCTCGCTCTGCCTATGACGTCACGATATCCATGCTCATACCGTTCCGCTCCGTGGAATGCAAAGCCGAACGAACTCAGCCATCATAAGCTGGGTTCGGCTTGCACACTCCGTGCACTCCGAGTGACTCCGTTCAAACGCCAGCCGTTCGGGTATTGCTTTTTATTTTTATAACGAATCAGACAACGGCTGGAGTGTAACGGAGTCACTCGGAGTGTGCAAGTCGAACCCAGCTATAAGGTTGGTAGATTTTTAGTGATGTGTCATCTGTCAATTGTCAAAAGATAGCTAAAACTAAATTTAAAAAAGTATGTACTTAAATAATAATAGTCCTAAAAACCGCAATTCCTTGTGTCATAACAGTAACTTTGTTGTTAGAATCGATGATCAGCGCTTGATACCTGTGAATTCTTGTAGGAATTTGGGTGTTGTCTTAGATGCCAATTTGCGGTGTGAACCTCATGTAGCCACTCTGCTACAAAAGGCATATATTAAACTGCGCACCTTATATCTACATCGGGACTATTTATCAATAGATGTTAAGCTCAGACTGTGTGATACATTGATTCTATCGAGCCTAACGTATTGTGATGTTTTGTATTGGCCTACCCTGCTAGAAAAGGACAGATATAGTCTTCAAAAAATCCAAAATTCATGCCTTAAATTTGCCTATGGTTATCGTAAATTCGATCATGTTACCCTTAGATGTTACCCCTCTTTTCGATAAATCCAAGTGGTTTAATTTACAGGGGCGCTTTTTTATACATATGGCAACGTTGACCTTTAAAATTTTGCGCAGTAAACATCCTGCATGACAAACTTGGCCGCAGACAGATCGACCCCACATTGCAATCGACTAAACGTCCCAAAGCATAATACCGCCCTTTTCCAGCGATCTTTCACATATAATGCCACAAAAAATTTTAATTCTCTGCCCCTCGTACCTAATGTTAGATGGCTCCTCCGTACCTGGCTTTAAAAATAAGCTGAGGGCATTTGTTCATGGAAATAAGCAATGATTATTAGATGTAACATGTATTTTATACTTCACATAAACTTTTTTCTTTTTTTATATTATCAGGTTAAAGCGTGGGTTAGATAAGAGTAGCTCAAGCTGGATCTCGCCACCATTTCATTCTATTATTTGTAATAATTGTCGATAACAAATAAAAGACATTGTTTATTTATTTATTTATTTACTTAATTTCAAAGGCTTTCAGATGATCCATTTGGATTTCCTCTGAAAAAATTACCCTTTGATATACAGACTGTTTTTTGAGAAACTTTTATGTTTGTAGGTTCCTTAAAATCACCCTGTAATTAATGATGGCAATTTTTCTTCAATTTTTTTAGTATCCCATCTAAAAGTTCTCAAAATTCTTTATAAATCCTTAAAATTTGAACAGTGTACCATGTGTCTTAGAAAAGTTCCAAGATTCTTAACACTTCATAACTTTTCGAAAAATTATCGTAAACTGCTCAAATTTTCAGGATTTGTGAAGAATTTCGAAGGCTTTCAGATGAACTATTTGGATTTCCTCTAAAAAAATACTCTTGATATACAATGTGTTTTTGGAGAGATTTATAAAGCTGTGTAGGTATATACTGAGCTGTAAGCCAATCAAAAGCAGGGTTTAATCAAGATTCGAATTATCTTAGTTTCAACCAATCAAATTTAACTAGAGGCCAGTTTTATTAAGCAAAATTTACATCAAAAAACCAAATTATTGGTTGAAATCGTTACACTATAAACCAATTACATGAGTCGGAAATAAAGATACCTTGAAAACAGAGCTGGGCAAAGCCCTCAGTAAAAGGGCTTGAAGCACTAAGCCCTAAGCCCTATATCAAAGTGCTTCAATTTCAAGCACAAATTCCTTTTTATTTTCAAAAGTGCTTCACAAGCACAAATCCCTCAAAGTGCTTTGAGCTTGACAAGCACAAAGCCCTCAAAGTGATTTGAAAAGTGCTTGAAGCACATCAAAAGTGCTTGGGGTGCCTTGAAAAGGGCTTCAAGCTCTTTAAATGTGCTTCAAGCTCTTTAAATGTGCTTGAAGCTCTTTAAATGTGCCTAAAGCACTTTGAATTTGTAATAAAATTCTCAAAGTGGCATAAGCTACCGCGTACAGTCATCACACAGAATTGGTATAGTAGAGACGAACTTTACATTTCACAGAGTAGCAGTAGTATGTTTTTTTTGAGATGTAGTTCTGGGGTACTTGGGGTACTACATGGTAATTCAATTTTAAAGTTTTCAAAATGTTCAATGGGGAAAAGTGGAAAAAATCCAGTGATAAAGTTAAATAGGTTATAGTTTTTCCAAAGTCAATTGGAACAAGGTGAACATATATTATAACCGGTGACTGACTAGTGGCAGTGCATTTCTTATGGAAATTTTCAGTGACCAGTCAGCCACCAGTTGGCACCTTGTTCCAATTGAATTTGGAAAAACTATACCAATATAAATTAATTATTTATTTGAATAATAAGTTCATTCACAAAACACGATCGAAAATTTTCAAGTGGGGGATAGGTTGAGTGATGGTCAATTTAAATTCCTTTCAAAGTGCTTCAAGCCCTCTCAAAGTGCTTCAAGCTCCCAAAAGTGCTTCAAGCCCTCTTAAAGTGCTTCAAGCCCTTTCAAAGGGCTTCAAGCTCCCAAAAGTGCTTCAAGCCCTCTAATAAAAGTAATTGAAGCTCATTGAAAGGGCTTGAATTACTTTTTTCAATTACAAATTACCAAGCACTTTTCTAAAGTAATTGACTTTGCAAGCCCTAATTACAAATTTATAAAAGGGCTTGAAGCACAGGGCTTTCAAACCCTCAAAGGGCACAAAGCACTCAAGCCCTGCCCAGCTCTGCTTGAAAATAAGGTAAAAGTGTGGTTTTAGCGGACAATTATTTCCATAAGGATTCCTATACTGGTACAAAATATATATATTTGAATTCATCTAATTCATAATTTTGCCATTTTCTGGACTCTGAAAATGACGTTAATTGCCTATGCACTGACATCACTTGATTCCAAGATCAGGATCAGTAAAAAGGGACAAAATTCAAAACCCATTGTCCCGCTTTCTCTCTTCTGTCTAATGGAACTAATAGAAGGAAATTTACCAAAAAGACATCACAGAAGCCTCTATGCGAAATTTCAAAATCAGGGATAACAAAAAACCCTCTCAACATCTAAAAGCTGATTGAAAAAAGATTGCAATTTTAAATCCGAAAATTCACAATTCCCTTTTATTATAAACAAACGATGTTTAAATTTGCAAATATTTACATTAAACCTACAAATAAATACATTTTTAATCCCAGGAGGCCCGTATTTTATTTTATTCCATTTTTCAGCCCTGGGGGATGATTATTCAATTCCCCTAACATCTGCTGCAAACTTTTAAATCGATCAAATACATTTTTGTTTTCAGATCCAAAACTAACCACGCCCAACCTAAGCGCCCTGATAGAAGACTTGGAATATTGTACAAAATATGATTTCGCAGTTTCAGTTTTGGAGAATAACGGCGTTGAAGCTGCGAAAGTCAATCCGAACACCATTAGAACAGTTATAACGGGGATAGATCAGTTGGCAGCACCCGCTAATCTGACGGTACGAAATTTTTAATCAACTTAAAAAGTTTATTCTAGCGGGAAATCTTCTTGCTTGAAAAGTTAACTCAATAATATACCTACCTTTCCGAAACAAAATAATTACATTACGCCTCTGGTGAAGTTAATTATTTTTTGTTGTATAATAACAAAATGATTAACTTGGAGCCCTTTGATGTGTTGTGTATTCGGGGGGCCTATATAAATATCCTACGTTATATGAAAATTGTCAGGAACAGTTGGCCTTTTTTTTTTGGTTCAAAAGAACAACCCCGTGGCTTTGGAAAAACGAAAACATCATTTTGTAACGGAATGGGAAATTTGAAGCCCATTTTCATATTGTATTACTAGTTGGGCTATAAACGACCTTTCAAGACTCAACCTTGTTATTTTGTTATGGATTTATTCAGGATATTTTATCCGCAACTGTAATGACTATGATTTGCCGATATTCTGAATGTATGATAGGGGCTCAAGAATTCTTGACACTTGTTCATTTACTATTCGAATGGCGGACAGGTTAGGTTGGGTTTTGAAGGATTTGCCCTACAGCTTGTGAAAGAGAAACATTTTTTTTCTAATATTTTCTTATTATTACTCATTTTATAATTTTCAATTTTTGCTATTCCAGGCGCTAGGCTCTGTGAAATTGTTCTGAAGCCTTTCAAAATGCTGCTGGAAAGTGTTTTGAAACGTTCTCAATGGCTTATTGAAGTTCTGAAGTGTTCTAACTTGGCTCGAAGTGTTCTGGAACATTCTAAAAGTTTTTCAGTAATTTCTAAATTGCTCTGACATATTTTTAAGAATTTTAGAGCTCTATTGAAGCTCCAGAGTGTTCTGAATTGGTTGGCTTTCCAATTCTAAATTGAATCCTAATTATTCTACAATAAAGTTTCTCAATTGTTCAAAAATGCTCCTGAAAATTCTGATTTGGATTTGAACTGTTTTCGATGTTTTTTGTAACTTCTAACCTGGATCCTAACATTTTGACGTTTTTGAAAATGTTTCTTGAGATTCTAGAATGCTAGAGTGTTTTGGAGTGTTCTGGAGCATTTTGGAACAATTGAGAAACTTCGGAGTTATTTTGAAACAATTAGCATTCAATTTAGAACTGGAAAACTTTCAGAACTTTTCTGAACCAATTTAGAACACTTTGGAGCTTCAATAGGGCTGTTAAACTCTTGAAAATCTGTCAGAAACAATTTAAAATTCACGGAAAAACTTCTAGAATGCTCCAGAACTCTCAAAGCCTTAACATTAAATGTTTTTTATTCTCATATCCCAGAATTTAATTTTAAAAAACTCTTATCCTTTTTCTGTTTGTATAATAGAGGGACTGAGCCCAATTTCTTATCGCAGAAGTCAGAACAATAGTGAAACATATCTTGCTTTATTTTTAGTTTTTCATATAAAGAATTAGGTTGGTCTTTCTGATACTTTTCCCATTTTTTATATAGAAGTAATCGATGAATGGAGTATTTGATATCTAGTTATATATCTACTATTTACTATTAACTCAAAATTCAAATTGCCAAATCCAGCCGGATACAATAACATCAAATTTATCCTCCGGAAAGGTTCTAAGTTTCTCAACTGGCAATTGCAGATGGAAAAGTTTCGAATTCAATTTCAATTCTGTTTAAACTAGATTTATTTTTAGGCTGATTTAGAAGCCAGAGCACAACCGTGTTTGGACATCAAATGGTCCTCGGCTTGTCCCAATGTCGTCCATCCCATTGGTTATGTGGTAAGTACCAAATCCCTTAAGGCACAAGATGTAACTTCACTTGAAAAATTCAAAAACTATAGTTACAATGCCCAAAGCGACACCTTTCGTATTCCATTCGACATTACTTTATACAAAATTTAATTCTGTAACAAGTTATAGAAAGTTTTAGTTGTCTTGCCATTGAGTCCCTCGAGGGCGAGGAGTTTTATAAGGACATTATTCGACTTCCTTTATCGTAAACGGATTTGCTGTTTTTACGTTTTACCAGATTTAATCATACACCTCTTCATGTACTTGATTTTTGTCCGGAATATATATTTTTATTTATTGAGTATTGCCTCTATTTTACATATTTTATACATTGAAATTCACGATGTGGATGTTTTTCATTGGCAAAATAGCTTAGGTTGTCCGTCACTGTAAAGAATTCAGACAACTTGCCTCTATTTTCCAGTAACAATAAAGTAGGTACTTGTTTTAATTAGGTATATTTTAGTTATTTATTGAAGACAATGAAGACATTCAACTGACTTGCCAAAGTAACAACGGTAACAACTGACGTTAACATGACATAATACAAGGACAGCTTACATTGACAAACAAAAATAAAGTTGTCTACACTCTCTACGTCATATGAATGCTGGTAGAATTGTTTGTATACAGGGTGATTAGATGCTATTTCTACTAATCCACCTGCAAATTGGACAACTTTTAATAGACAGGCTACGTAAATCACGGTGTATATTTACACACCCTCTCAATTCTCCAATATTCAAAGAAACTGAATTTATTACCAAAATACAATTCTTAAAAAATAAAATAAAAATATCAATACAGGTTCGTTACATTCAATTTGCTACGGAAATAGTCATATTTCTGAGGAGTAACAGCCCTTGTAGATATATCAGCTTTTTGTTCATTAATAGGAATATAATTAAATTTAATTTGATTTTTCTCCAAACAATCTCTCAGAAACTTATGTCGGACATTAGTGCGCTTATTTTCTAAAGTGCTAACCATCTTGATGCACGATTGATTATCCTCAAAAATTTCTATTGGGTATATAGTTCATTTAAGTATTTTACTCAACAGAGTAGCAATAAATAAAGATTCTGTGACACAGACAGAAAGAGCGACATATTCTGCTTCAGCACTTGACAAGGATACAATGGTTTGCTTCTTTGATTTCCAAAATACAACATTATTCAAAAAATTAATACAAAAACCAGTAATGCCTTTCCTATAATTAGGATCATTAGCAAAGTCTGCATCTACACATCCAGACAGAATACAAGAATCTGTCCCAGAATCCGTTTTTATATCATTTTTTACATATTTAAGAACAAAGTTTGCTGTATTTTTCAAGTATCCTAAAACAGCTGTTAGGTGTTTATAGTGCTCTTGCTCAAAACAATTTTGAAAACCCATTTAAACATGGGTCAGCCTTGGATCTACAGCATGTCGTACCAACACTTTGGAGATTGGCGCAAGCCATATAGAGCCATTTTTAATTCACATACAAAATTTTCTTCAATATTAAGATTCAGACCTTCTGGAACTTCCATATATACAGTATATACGCATGTTTAACATCTGGCTGATGAATATACATGTCTTCTTGAAAACTTAGTGACAGCAAAATACGAATACTTAGGATTCGAGCAACGGGAGCACATATTTCCTCATGCACTTCACTTTGTTTGAAGCCTCTCGTCACCAAACGTGCTTTTTTCCCTATTTTTCCACCAATTTCTTTATTTTTTAACACCCACAGAGAATCTCTAATCTCTTCACTTTCAGGTCTTGGCACTATTTCCCAGGTGTTACAACTTTCCAATGAATTTAACTGTTCCTTGATGGCTTCTTGTTAGCCGTCGCTTTTAGAAACTGCTTCATCAAAATTTTCTGGAGTTTCAGGGTCAAAATCACCAATTGACAATGCCGCAAACAATTCAAAATCAAGTTCATAGTCATTCAAGTATTGTGGTAGTTTTCATTCTGTTTATTTCTTGTCTTTTTATTGTCCTCTACATGTGAGTCTACAACGACAGATTCCTCTTCTTGATTTTCCCTGTCTCTTTTTTTTTTCTTCACTTGGTACCTGGATTTCCTCACTCTCTTCCCTGATGATGGATGGTAACTGTGTTTGTTTTTATTAATTATTTTCTTTTCGAAGATAAAATTGCAAGATGTAACAACTGCAAAGTCCCACGGTAACCATTATTAGTGTAACCCAACATGTATGCCTTTATATCCAATTTACTTGTCAATTCACTTTTTGGAATGTAAATATGAGCAACAGAACCAAAAACTTTTATTTTTATTGAAATTAGGTTTTTCATCATACCATAATTCTGCTGGAGTCACACCCCTGGGCAGTACCGATGTTTCTGTGCGATTAATCAAATAAACAGCAGTTAGTACAGAGTCACCCCAGAATTTCTTATCAAACACAGAGTCAAAAAGCATACATCTTGCTTTTTCCATGACAGTTCGATTAAAACGAGAAACCATTTTGTTGTGGAGTGTGAGGAATAGTATATTCTACAGAGATACCTTTTTGTTTACAATTTTTTTTAAATTCGTTCGAAGTATGTATATTCACCTCCATTATCACATATAACTCGTTCAATGGATTTCATAAATTTTACTTCAATCTTGTTTACATAAGTATCCAAAAACTTCACTTTTATTCTTCACAGTGAAGTAAGTAAAATGATCCACGAAAATAACGAAATACCTCATATTATCATAAGTTATGGGAATTATTGGGCCACAAACGTCCGAGGAAACAACTTGCAGAACCCTTTTGGGCTTTCTTTCCTCATTTAAATATATGTATGGCATTGAAGTTTGCTTCCCGTTTATACAAACTTCACAGAGTTTGTTACTCGGATATTTTGAAGAGTGACCCATATGTCTATGCTATAAATCATCAAGATCACTTTTACTTAAGTTTACTTCAGCAGGTTGAATTTTAAAGGTAAGTATATAAAGGTTTTTAACTAGTAATAGAGGTGGTTACTAATACCTGGTAGCTCTCAGGCATGGCTGATAGTAATTGAGTAATAATTTCAGTATTATCAATATTACCACCACTGTTTTTAATTCCTGATATTGTTTTCTCGAGTTTAAAGAAAAAATTGTTTAGCTTTTCATTACTAGAGAATTTCATATTTCTAAGTTTTCTTTGGAGATTAACTTAATTGACGATGCCGTGTTTCTGAAAAGTGCACCTTAATTCATCCATAATTTCCTTGGCAGTTCCTTTGGTTTTTTACTATTTCCAGTACACTATGTGCCAGCACTTGGACCATTAGATTTCTTGACTGCAGCGACTCCTGCAGAATTTGCCGTTGTGTGACAAAATTGAGATGTTATGTAAAAATTGATATTTTGGTAGAGTGAATAATTTTGTCACATCTTAAAATTTCGTGATAAATTATACAGAAAAGTAAATTTTATCTGAAGCAGTAAATAACAGTTTTCTGAACCGGAGGCAATCTGAACGAAACCTTCTTTCTTCTCTTCTTGAAGTGGTTATTGAAAGGTGTTATTAGAGACTCAAAATTGGTACCAAAAAAAAAAATTAAAGTAAATATAAAAAAAACTAAAATTACCTTAAGATTCAGTTCCATATCTGACACTTTATTGGAATTAAAATTAAAAATAAACTATCACCTCTTTGGAGTGCTTTTACTAAAACACCGGGCGGCAGATGAACTAGATGATGAGAAACGGTTCGAGAACTCGGTGAGACTTTGCGACTTAAATTTCCGGCGATAACTAGTAAGAAAAACTAGTGGCAAATTGGCGATACCCAAAGTCAACTAACCTCAACATCTGCTTAAATAAGCGATAGGAACCACCCTCTGAGTACCACTTTAGAAGCCCATTGGCTACGCCTTAATACCGGGCTTGCGAGAATCGACAAAGTCAAAGATCTCCAACCCTCTTAGCTTTCAGCGATTCGCTGAAAGTACCCTCTGGTTTCTTGTTGATTTCCCATTGGTTCTCAAGTTTATTCAACCTTCCCCATTCAAACTGCTTTACTCTGTGATCCAGTTTGATGGCTTTCCAATTCCAACAGAGTTCGCTAATTACATGTGGTCAAATTCTTGATTGAACATTTAATATTTTCCCTTTTAATTGAAAACCCCTTTCCCTTTTCTAAGTCCCTAAGAACCTGCTTTCTATTCTTATTTGTTAATTTCTAACCTAGTCGAGTAAATAGGATAAAAATTCCCTAAATTTCTAACCTAATCAAGTAAATAAAATAAAAGTTCCCTAATTTCCAACCTAATTATCAAGAGTGTGAAATGAACCAAACTATGCTCTATAAATTTAATAATAAAATAATTGAGTGATGACTCCTATCTTAACCTACCTATAACTTAATTATAACTAAGCATTTGACTATCCTACAGTTAACATTTCACTCAAGTAATAACCCTTGATAATTATATTGTTATGGTATCTTAAAAGTCCAGCTCATGTAACTATTGCTTCGCTACACACACACATGCTTCAAATATACATAATTCTTTCCAGCGATATCAGTTACCTGACATCTGGGTTCATTATAAAACGTGGGTATTCAGAAGATTATCCTTGACTTTGAATAAATTATTACAACCACATGGGATCTGATTCAGTCGACAGATTAGTTTAAAGTTTAGTGTTTATCTAGGAAAACATAAATTTTGCCTATATAAACTAGTCAAAACGAAATAAGGACCACTTTTAAAAACACCTTTATTTTTATTGAATTATGAATAACCCTGGTAAAGTTTTTATTTCCATTCACAATATAATTTTTCTGTGCACACTTAAATTGTTTATCTATATTGTAAGTAGAAATAGTCACTTTACCAGGGTTATTCAAAATTCAATAGAAACTATGGTGCTGTTAAAAGTGGTCCTTATTTCGTTTTGAGTAGTATATTTGCCAATTTCGGGTTGCAGCAATAATAATCTTGAAGCTATGAAATTCAATACTTTTCTGGCTTTCAAGTGAT